GCAGCGGTGCGCTCCACGCAGGGTCCTGGCAGCGGTGCGCTTCACGCAGGGTCCTGGCAGCGGTGCGCTTCACGCTCTGGGGTCCTGGCAGCGGCGCTCCCCGCGTAAGGTCCTGGCAGGGGTGCGCGCGCGCCTCCCTTCCCGGGTCCTGGCCGGGAAGCTCGCCTCGAAAGGTCCTGGCAGCGGTGCGCTGCACACTCCCGTCCGCCGGCCGGCCCACATCCTCGCACCCTGCAGTCTTACCAGGATTGTCACTTACCCCGCAAATGACTCTGTGGACGAGAGGGAAACTGTTTTACCGTTATATGAAGACTCCATTCTAGAGGTCTTTTGTAAGCTGCTAGGACCCGAGCTGAGGAGCGCCCGCCCCCGCGGGGTGGGGGCGGGGCTGCAGAGGGCCCCCGGGGGCCCTCCCCGCGAGCCCCGGCCCCGCACGCACCTCCTCGCTTGGACGGTCCGGCTCGCCGCCCGCCCACCCGTCCCCCGGGGACAGGCCTCCGGGCCGCTGCCCCGCGCGTCCCCGGCTGGAGGAATCCGGAGGCGGGGGGACTGAGGCTGTCCCGTGAGACCCAGAGCTACCGGCGCCAGGACTTGTCTTCGCGATTCTTTAGGGGGAGTTACTTTGAAGACGACCAAGCGCACGGTTAAAAAATCACTATGATTTAGCACTACGTACTTTTTAAATCTTAAAAAATTAGCCTAACAAGAACAATGAAGGTCAAGAGCCCAACTCGCACAGTTTGAGCCACAAATACACAAAGCGTTCACAAAATTTGGTATAGAAAAATTTACTGGAGAAATAGCACCCCCCCCCACCATAGGATTTGTCAGTTCACAGGAAAACGCAAGTGCTGAATGGATTGTTGTATATGTCTAGGTGTTCCCGTGATGTGTCCCTCAGAACCGGCCACCAGGACCTGCACACGCAGTCGGGCTAAGGACTGCTGTTTGTGAGGCTGTGTGAATAACCTTGGGAGCCTGGTTATTTAAAATATATTATCTGGCCTCCAGGTCAGAACTGGCCCTTCTGGTCTGCACGCCAAGAGCTGTAAACCTTTTCTCACATCCCCTTCTGCTCCAGGCTGAGCCTGCCCCCCAGGATGGAATCCGGGAGGGGAGGCAGTCACACCTAGCCTAGGCTCCTTGAAAATACAGAAATGATGAGGGAGCAGAAGGCTAGCTGTGGACAGGCAGAACCTGACACCCCACAAATCCCCCCCACCATGGGACATATGTGACATTCCTCAGGACACTCCTGGCTGCCCTAAAGGAAAAACAAATAACTTACAGAGATCACAATCCTGCAAGACATGGGCTCTCCCTCCCTTCACAAAAGTCTGAGCAATTTACAAGAACAAAGCGCTTCTATCAATACTCTAGCTTCCAGAAGGAAACCTAGATACAATGTAAGGATATAAGGAAATGTCCTTATAACCTATAGCCCATTGACAGATACTTGAAGCAGGCAAAGTGTAACGTTCCTCCAGGAAGCTCCCAACTATCTCAGTGTTAATGCCTTACTAGAGGGAAAAACAACCTTAGCTTGACAATGGCAAGGCCTCCCCTATCCTGTGAGTCTTGAAACCTCCCTTTCCTTACCTCCCCCAGCTGCTAAGTATATAATCAGCCAATTATAAGACCCCCAGGGCAGCAAGGCCTTTCCGCCCACGGGCCGCGTCCTGGTGCTTTAATAAAACCACCATTTTGCACCACAGATGTCTCAAGAATTCTTTCTTGGTTGTCAGCTCCGGACCTCACCCCGTTGACCCTCACTTACAAGACCCCATCAGAAACATGAAAACATGGAAATTCCGCTCGCTTCTCTTAGGCGAACAGATGTTTGACTTCAGACCCCGTCATCTGCCCTATAAATAGGGCCCTTATGGGGACGGTCCATTGCACGTCTCACCTGAAGGGGAGGACACTCTGTCGAGGCCTCAGTCGGGACTCCAGCCTGGCTGTCTCCACGGGGCACCCCCAGCTGATGAGGTTGGATGTTGTAAGTGCCTGATATGTTGTTACTTTGCCTAATTTGCATTTGTTGCCTACTATTACATAGATGTGTAGATTCTTTTCTTCTATTAGGTTTCTATAATAATAGAATTTTCTTTCCTCTCTGAAATCAAGACACAGTTGCTTTGAATCTTTTGTTCAGAACATAGATGTGGGGGGAAAAACCCTCACTGACCAGTTACTAAGAAATAGGAACATAAAAGAAAACTTTTCTTCACTATTAAGGTAACAGACTCCCCAAAAGTGGATTTTGCAAATATTGCCTCTGGAAGACAATGTAGGAATATGTAGTGAGGACCTTCAGATTTTTCATAACCTTTTGGAATTCCTTTTTTCGAAAAAAATATGTACTATTAAAATAACCCAACAGGGAAATAAAGCCGTTCCTGATTTGGCTTGGTTTGGTTTGGAGAAATGTTTGTTGCATCACTATTTGGGGAAAACACAAAAGCTTCAAAATTTCCACTCATACAGAATGAGCAAGTCGTAGTAGCCATCCGTTTGAAAATGTGTGCATGAGTTGCACCCCAATGTTCATAGCAGCAATGTCACAATAGCCAAGCTGTGGAAAGAGCCGAGATGCCCTTCAACAGATGAATGGATAGAGATGTGGTCCATATATACAATGGAATATTACTCAGCCATCAGAAAGGATAAATACCCAACTTTTACATCCACATGGATGGGACTGGAGGAGATTATGCTAAGTGAAATAAGTCAAGCAGAGAAAGTCAATTATCATATGGTTTCAGTTATTTGTGGAATTTAAGAAACAAAACAGATGAACATAGGGAAGGGAAGGAAAAATAAAATAAGACAAAAATTGAGAGGGAGGGAAACCATAAGAGACTCTTAGCTGTAGGAAACTGCTGGTTGCTGGAGGGGAGGTGGGTGGGGATGGAGTAACTGGGTGATGGGCATTAAAGAGGGAACTTGATGTCATGACCACTGGGTGTTAAATGCAAGTGATGCATCACTAAATTCTACCTCTGAAACTAATAAATGTTTAAAGAGAGAAAATGTGTGCATGAGAGATTTCTGGAAATAAGGAAGAGCAAAGATTGTTTCATAGCCCCTAGGTCTGCTCCAGATTCCAGTGTGGGCTTTTCCCCCACATCAAGCCATTCCCTGTGATACCAGCTGCGTGTTGTACAATGTCAGTGAATTCTTCCCAAGGATCGTGTTAGACCCCACAGGTTAAGGGCTCAGTCCTACAAGACCTTTCCCAAATTCAGATGCCAATTGCCAGTCCAGGTGTCACCGGTGCTTCTGACTGACATGGTGGTAGATCAGAGGTTCCAATCACAATATCCCATCCTCTTTTAGGACCAGCAGAATCCAAATTGTGTTGTATGGCATCCTCACTTCCCAAGACAGACTAAAAGGTATCACCCGGCATTTCTCCCCTTCCCTCTGCACCCTCCAGGTGAGAGATTCAGCGGTTGCTATTTGAGGACAAGTGTCGGGTGGCCGGGGCAAAGAGGCTGCACAGGCTCTCCGTCATCTGCCTCTAGAACCATCCAGAAAATGGAAGACTCCCACTTCCAGGTCAGAGGCAGAATCAGCGTGGGTGATGATCTGGATTATTGCTCAGAATTACATTTCATGAACACCCACAAGACAGCAGGACATTTGCCGGGCTCTGGGTGTCTTGAATTCCCACCACACTGAGCGCAAAGCATTAAATAGGAGAATGCCTCCCCACAAACGGGCAGAACTCTCAGATCATCAGGCTGCGCTCCGAACCACTTCCCTTTCTCTCCAGATCATACTCTAAATGGATTCATATAAAATGTTGGTTCCCTCTCTTGCTGTGTCTCTCTCTGTCAAATAAATAAATAGAAGCTTAAAAAAAATGTTTTGGGATTAGATTGGCAGTGATGAAAAAAATCTGAGTATTGTCCCTAAGTCCGTGACAAACTAGTTCCTTCTTTACAAATGCCTTGTTCAGACGCTCCGGACAGTCCCGGCGTTAGTCAGCACGTGGGTTTCTTCCAAGGGATGTGCCTCACCGGTAGGAAGCAACTTTTTCTCTCATTAACGTGTTTACAATGTCAAATGCTGAGGGCCCCAGCCGACGACCTTAAACGATTTTCATCACAGGAAATAGTTATCCCACGTCTACCCTTCGTGTTTGACGTGTGTTCTATGGCATTTGGGGTCACCCAGGCTGTGCAGGGGGACCGGAGAGACTCTGTCAGCTCTGCGTGCAGGCGACTGACTGAGGACCCCAGGGTGTGTACGGAGAGCTGACTCCGGGGCTCTTGGTCTATGGGTGGAGAGTTCGACCCCACATCGGGGGGACACTTTTTACAAAAAAAAAAAAAACTGACTCGGTGCAAATGTCACATTTGGCCTACGGAAAAAGAATCGGAAGTAGGTAACTTTCATTGCCATGATACATGCATGATGCAGAAGGCCGCCATCGCAGGGGTGGGCCGGGGGACGCAGCGAGCCAGCCGGGGGCGGGGGTGCAGCGAGCCAGCCGGGGAGGGGGGCCGCAGTGAGCCAGCCGGGGGCGGGGCCGCAGCGAGCCAGCCGGGGTTGGAGGTGCGCAGCGAGCCAGCCGGGGAGGGGGGCCGCAGCGAGCCAGCCGGGGTTGGGGGTGCGCAGCGAGCCAGCCGGGGAGGGGGGCCGCAGCGAGCCGGACCTCCCGGCCCCCAGGCAAAGGACGGAAAAGCAAGGCCAACGTTTCCAACGGTCGGGGAGAACCTCCCCCACTAAAACCCCAGACTGCTCGAGCGCTCTCCCCGTAACCAGCGCTCCGAAGAATCCCCGACCTCATTATCATACATTTACATAGCGGGCTCCCGGTGCACGATGGGAAAGGCCCAAAATGGCGCGCCGGAAGGAGTCCCGGGGTGCCGGGGCGGCGGGGAGGCGGGGCTGGAACAGCGCGGGAAGGTGGTAGTGCAGAGGCGAAGGCGAGGGCGTGTGCGGCGCCCTCCGTCCCGAGTAGCCCGCCCCACCC